CCCACACGAGGTTAACGAGGGGGCGTGGCACACGGAAGGAGCGGACGATCGGGGCAGGACTGGGGTAATGTTGGGATAAGATCTTTATCGTTTTGGAAGCCATTAAGAAAAAAATGCTCTTCTTGTTTTATCCTGTTCATTTTGTGTTTAAATGCAAAAAAATAAATAAAAAATACATATTTAGGTGTAATTTTTGGGGGGCTGGGAACCAATTAATTGGTTTTCCATTATTTCTTATGGGACAAATTCGATCCGGAGTCAGGAACGGATTAAGTTCGAGAACCGAGGTACCACTGTATTCATGAGCGTGTACAAGAAATTTCATGCTTATTAATTTTCATTATCTTATTTTCGTCATGTAAAGGTAACAATTGCGCTACTGTAATGTTAATGCTACAGTGCTTTGCCTTTTGTCATTTTTACAACCAGTCTGGTTGGATCACACATTATTGAATATGTCTTAAATGCAAATTGAATAGAGAATAGAAAATGAATCCAATTTGGAAATTATTTATTGAAATCAAATAGATTCATGGCCGATTTCCAACCCTAAACAATACCTGTATGTTTCTCAAATAGAAAGATTCTAATTTTCGGCATATATCTTTAACTAATTCTTCTAAAAAATGGCATGCGAGTTTTACACTTGCCCAGTTTTATTTTCAGCTTTTATTTTCTGCCGGAAGTAATTTTTTTGTGCTTGAAGACAGGCTGGTTTTGTTTTTAAGGAACTATATCCATATGTTTCTCAAATAAAGATTTTGCTATATAAGCCTTTCAACCTTCTTTAGTGGTTGTTACTGTTTGTTTGCAGTGACTCTGCATTTGTAAATTTATGTTGCCTTTAGAGCCTTTTAAAAATCTCTGTATGGAAAGCTGCTATAGTATTTCATATCTCACTGTTATGGGATTGATGTCAAATCAAACTCAAATCGAATTGTGAGCTTGTGAATCGAATTGAGTCGGAGCATCTGTGCCAATGCCCAGCCCTACTCTACAGGGATCTCTACAGCTTCCCAAAGGACCATGGACACTGATATGTGGCCAGCAATCAGGGTTCCTGGTAATTCTCTAAACTTGTTTTATGGAGTAGCCCCTGTAGCAGCTAGTAATGTAAAAACCATCATTAATTAACTTATTACTGATAGTCATTTTTCAGTTCTCTGTGTAATAAAAGTAATATAATAACCAATAATGTGACATGTTTTTTGGATATTTTATTACATCATCAGCAATTTATTATATTTTTTGGCTTTTATTACATTAAGAATGGGCATATTATTACAGTATTGGCAGTTATTAAATTAATGGTAGTTTTTCAATTATTGGCAGCTTCAGCCCTTATAAGGAAAACTGAGTTTTTCTATCTAATAATTCCACACATTTGTAGAACACAATGCTCATCATGGATGTTTTTAAATAAATGCTGACAAAAACTTCCCAGTTAAGCAGAATGTAAATGAATGATGTTAAATATTTAATTAAGTAATTAATACAGTATATAACTTATGGTATTTTTTATTTTTATTTATTTATTTTTTACCAAAAAATGCCACTAACTGACATGAGATGACAACCACAGAAACACATTTCAAAACCAATGGCCTGTACTACGAAGCAGGGTTACCGGCCTTATCGGGTAACTTGTCGGAATTAAGGTAATCTGGGCAAAATGTAAGTGAATGAATGTGAAGTCCATTTAAACTGTCTAAAATGTTTCTATTTCTTCTTAAATCGATCTGTACTGTTAGTTGTGGAACAGCTTTTTCTTTTTAGATGTTTTTGCAGCATCCAAGCTGCACGCTAACGTTGCCACCCAGTCTTTTTGCCACTCAGTGGGTGTAATCACATTGATTTCTACTTACTGTCATGTCATGTGCATTCCCTCCATTTAGTGACCTGTGTCATTGGGGTGTCTTACACTCTGATTTGTTCCATGCCCCCCTTCTCTGTGCCTCAGTCTAGGTGTGTCCATCTTGGAGTTGGCCTGTAATATCGAGGTGCCTAAAGGAGGAGATGGCTGGCAGGAGCTCAGACAGGGAAACCTACCTACTGAGTTTACAAATGGTGGGTGTATGTCATTGTGTTCTATTCTTTGCATGCCATTTTTCACAGTACCTGTTGGCTATTGTATATGATGTTGGGGGGATGTTCAGTAACTAGAGCTGCCATGCTTACTCAAACACAATTGCTTGGTTTATTAAACATCGGTTAACATTTTCCTTCTCGATTACTCAGCAATATGACGGAAGGGGGACCACGCATTCTGGATGTGGGTCCAAATAAAGAGTGAAAGCATCAGTTGTGTGTTAGCTAGAGGTGTAACGATATGCGTATTCGTATTGAACCGTTCGGTACGAGGCTTCTGGTTCGGTACGCATTACAAACCGAACGATTCAGAAAAATACTTTTTTTGTCTATTTCAGTTCATAACTCGCTGAAATCTTATAGAAACATGAAAAAAACGCTGACTAAATCCGTAATCGGTCGTCTTTTGAAAATGTCCATTGTCGGAAGTATTAAAGTTTTTTAAATTAGGCTAAATTGGCAAGAAAATAAACCATGTCACCTTACTTTGATTTACCTGCATCGGGAGCGTATAGTAATGCTGTAGCTCTTGAGACCGGTCTTGGTCTCGAGACCGGTCTCGAGACCAATTTTTTGTGGTCTCGGTCTTGTCTTGGTCTCGACTCTATTTGGTCTCAGTCTTGTCTTGGTCTCGGACATAGCGGTATCGATGGGATGGGGAAAAAAAGAGAAAACTGCACATCCTCACAGAACAGTATCATTATTTATTACGCGCCTCAATTCAAATGCAAC